TCCTGGTTCCTTCCCGGTATCCCCTCCTGGTTCCTTCCCGTTATCCCCTCCTGGTTCCTTCCCGGTATCCCCTCCTGGTCCCTTCCCGTTATCCCCTCCTGGTTCCTTCCCGGTATCCCCTCCTGGTCCCTTCCCAGTATCCCCGCCGGGTCCCTTCCCGGTATCCTCTCCGGGTCCCTTCCCGGTATCCCCTCCTGGTCTCTTCCCGGTATCCCCTCCTGGTCCCTTCCCGGTATCCCCTCCTGGTCCCTTCCCGGTATCCCCTCCTGGTCTCTTCCCGGTATCCCCGCTGGGTTCCTTCCCGTGATTCCCTCCGGTTCCCTTCCCGTTATCCTCTCCGGTTCCCTTACCATTATCCCCGCCAGGCCCCTTTCCGATATCTCCTCTGGTGGGTCTCTGCCCGACATCCCTACCGGTTCCCCTCCCATCACTTCCTCGTCGGAGTCGCTGGGCGCGCGAACGCTATCGACCGTCGTGCTGGCGTCCGACGACGGGTGGCGGCGCCTGGCGGCGGCGGCCGACTCGCGGCGACTCGCGGCGCCCTCGTCTGACGATCGCTCGTCCGACGCCTCGTCGCCGCTCGTGTCCTCGCCGCCGCCGCCCCAGGTTTTAGCGACGCCCGCGCTCGCCGCGCCCCAGGTTTTACCGACGCCCGCGCTCGTCGCGTCCCAGTTTTTACCGACGCCCGCGCTCGCCGCGCCCCAGGTTTTTCTGACGCCCGCCATCGCCGTCGCCTCCCAGCAGAGGGCGCCACCCATCGACGTCGGCAGAGCGCCCCCTACGTCGTCGGGTTCGGGCGAGATCACCTCGATGTCGGATTCTTCGCCGCTGTCGTCGTCCGCGGAGTTGACGTCTGACGCGACCTCTGACCCCGAGCAGGAGTGGAAGGAGTCGGCCGAGTCGTCGCTATCCATCTGAACATACGACAAGGATGTTAATTAGTTAAAAAAAAATTTTAATTACAAAAATTACAAAGTTGAGAAATTATTTAATTAAATATATTAATTAGTTTAAATTATTAAATAAAATAAAATAAAATAAAATAAATTAAATTAAATTAATTAAAAAAAAAATTATGAAGTTAATGAGCTCGTCCAGTTAGTCGAGTTGCCGAGACACTGCAGTTTTGCGTCCAAAAATGCCAAATACGTTTGATACTTATCACCGGAAACTTCGTTTTGAAAAATTTGCAAAATTTTAGAATTTGAAAACATTCGAAAACCACGCCACCTACCGAGAAAAATTTGCACAAATCTATGAGATGAGACGAGAAGAAAAATTACCGCGGAGACGTTCAACTGTTGACAAGCTACGCTCGACTCACCTGCGTCGACGGCCGACGCGTGCTGCCACCTATGGGACTGCTGTCCATGTTGCACAGGAAGTTGGCAGTCAGGCATCCTCCGAAGGTCAGCATGCCGACCTCCGGGTCTGCGGAAAAACACAAGAGCATTATTCAGCCTGTTGGACGAAACCCTCGTGATCTTCGACCACTGTGACCTTTAACCCCCAGCAACCTTCCACCCAGTTAACACTCGATCCTCGTGACCTTCAACCTCTGCGACCTTTAACCCCACGACCTTCAACCCCTGCAACCTTTAACCCCAGCGAACCTCCATCCTTGTGACCTTCAACCTCAGCGACATTCGACCCCAGCGACCTTCAACCCCAGATCCCCGCACGTTTTTACACGCCCCCGCTTGACCTGCTCCCCAAGGCAGCCACGTTCCTCCGAGGTGACCCCTCCTGTGACCTTCGACCTAAATGGCCAACAACCTTCGACCCCCATTGCCAACGACCATCGACCCCCATGACAACGACCTTCGACCCCCATTGCCAACAACCTTCGACCCCCATGACCAACGACCTTCGACCCCCATTGCCAACGACCTTCGACCCCCATGGCCAACGACCTTCGACCCCCACGACCAACGACCTTTGACCCCGCTCACCGAGGCAGCCGCGCTCCGTCTTCTCCATCCAGAGGGCGACGGCGTCGCGGGAGAAGCGCTGGTGCAGCGAGTGCATGCGGCGCACGCCCTCCGTCGCTCCCGCCTCGCACAGGCCGTGAAGCGGACGAAGCTCGCGATCGAAGCATCGCCGTGGCGACGACGTCGTCAACAGCTTCGGGTTGTAGGCGGCCGCGGCGTCGTCGCCGCCGTCGTGCATGGTGGCGCCCTCGCAGTCGTAGGCTGGTGGTGATGGTGGGGGAAGCGAGAGAGAGAGAGGGGAGAAAGAGACGAGAGAGAGAGAAGAGAGAAAAGAGAGGAGGAGAGAGAGAAGAAAAGCTGAGCAGAGAACGGAGAGAGAGAAGGAGACAGTAGAAGCGAGGAGAGAGGGAGAGAGGGGAGAGAGAGAGAGAGGTGGGGGAGGAGCGAGAGAGGAAGAGAGAGAGGAGAGAGAACGAAGAGAGAGAGAGACGGACGAGCGAGAGAGAGCAGAGAGGTGAGCAGAGAGAGAGATGAAGAGAGCGAGAGAGACGAGAGAGAGTGTTCGGACGAGAGAGACAAGAGAGAGAGAGAGAGACGAGAGAGAGAGAGATCGAGAGAGAGAAAGAGTGAGAAAGAGAGACCAGAGGAAAGGAGAGAGAGAGACAGTTATTATATACTTACTAACAATGTTGTCAGCATGTGAATTTGAATCTTTCTTTCACCTACGTAGCCTTCCCTCTTCAATAAACATCCATATAAATATATAAATATATATAGGCACTCCCACTAGATTTCACACCCGTATGATAGAATTCGCTTTATTCACGTGATCAGGCGTATATATATATATATATAATATATATATATATATATTATATACATATATATATATATATATATATATATATATATATATATACATAGATATATCTTCCATTATATAAGTATGTGGGAATAACAGAAAATGTGGATCATATACGGAGTTTTGTGTAAAGGGCGTTTCCCTTCGTGAATCTACCAGCGTAGCAGAGCGTACGTACAGTGCGAGACGGGCCAGGCCCCGAGACTGCGACGATGCGGTGGCGCCCCCATGCTGCGCGAGACCGCGCGCTCCTCGACGCTGCACTGTCGGCTGCCGGTGAGCAGCCCTCGCCGTAGCGACGCCAGCCGGCTGTCCAGCCGCGAGCGATTCTGAAAAAACAAGTGGCGCGATTCGTTAAAACTGCGAATGCATGATAACAAGACGAATAAAGGATGAACGCTCAAATTAACAACAGTTCACTTGTTTGGCACAAGTCGCTCACCAGGTGGGGCCGCACGGCCTTCAAGATCTCCTGAATGTCTACAATCTGGGTGTCGATCGTCTGCTGCGTCATGCCATCTGGTGGCGAGAAGTGGAAGCTCTTGCCTAGGAGCGGCGAGCCAACTTCGTACTGGTGAAGTTTCTCTGTCGAAAGAAATGGGAGAATCTGAGATTTCCCCCGCGGGAAAGAATGTGGAAAAGCGGGGAAAGGTTGGGGATTCCTGGGTGGAAAATGTGGGAAAAATAGGAAGATTTAAAGATTCCTAGGAAAAAAACATAGGAAAGTGGGAAGTTTCCACGCGGTAAAACGTGTAAAAAAATGAAGTGGAAAAAATGTGGGGAAATAGGAAGATTGGACATTCCTAGGCTAAAAAAACTGGGAAATTTGAGATCCCGCAGGGAAAGAACAGGGAGAAAAGGAAATGCGGAGAAAGGCGACGATTTAACGGGGAACGAAAAAGAGAAGGGGGCTTACCCTTCGTGAACATGAGATCTGCGAGTTGGTTCTCTAGATCGCGTGCAAACAGCATGAGGTTCCCATACTTGAAGTACTTTGAGACCTTCTGTGGATGTAGAATAGAGGGCAGAACACATGAAGTAGATACACAGGCGCTGGACCTTCTCTTTCGATTATTTATTGTATTTACATTACATATTCAGTGAATAATTATACGTGAGCTTGTAGCAGACCTGTTTCCAACACAGGTTTGACCTTTCGACCTCAGCGCGATGCTACAGCGGTACCGCGGACGTCGCGCCTACAGCGCACAGCAGATGGCGCCGCACCGGCTCGCGATGTCGACTCTATCCGCGTGCCACATCGAGCGTCGCGCCGCACTACGAGATCAGAATCCATGGATAAGCCTGCCCACCCTTGAGAGGTTCATACTAGATCGCCGGTTTCAATGAAGACGAAGCCACTCGTCCTTGTGTGTCGCGTGCGGCCGTTCTTTGTGTGTGCCTGTTGTGTGATTGTGTGGTTGTGTGTGTTTGTGTGTGTGTGTGATCCG